CACAAACGCACACACAGAACACTAATTCCCTATCCAAGTGTATTCTGGGAGTTAGAGCCTCCAAATGAAGATGGAAAGGTATCAACTGGGAAGTACAGTAGTTCCCCCTTATCCACAGCAGCCACTTCAACACCCCCAGTGGATGCCTGAAACTGTAGTTAACCCTCCATATGCCATGTTTGTTCCTACACATAAATCTGTGACTGTTTTATTTATAAATTAAGCACAGTAAAAGATAAGCAATAACCAATAATAAAACAGCACAACATAGCATAATGAAAGTTTTATGAATGTAGTCTCTTTCTCTCAAAATACCTTATGATTCTCACTCTTCTTCCTAGGATCATGCGAGAGGATAAAATGCCTACGTCACGAGCTGAAGTGAGGTGAATAACGCAGGCTCTGTGAGGCAGTGTTAGGCTACTACAACTACTTCTAACGATAGGGCAGGGCTTCCAGGCACCAGACTGCACCTGCCTACGGGTAACTCAAACCACAGAAAGAAACTGTGAGTGAGGGGGGGACTCCCGCAGGATCAAACTGTAGCTGCCTGATTTTCTGACTGAAATGGACCTTGCATTTGTGAACAAAGGTCTGACTACAGAGAAAGGAGGAAGGCTCTCGCTCCCTGCCTTCAGCGTCAGCTCGGCACTGCTGATGTGGGCTTTCAACCTCACATGTAGCACCCTTGTGGTTTGAGGAAATCTTGGCAAGAGCCAACTCTAAGTGCTAGGTCCTGGTGATGCGAGTTTACGTGTTTTATGTCTTTGTAAGTATTTTGGTGGGCAGCTGATCCTGCCTATCCGATGCTTTTTATTTACATTTTTATTGTTTTAAGGATTATTTATTTATTTATTTATTTGACAGACAGAGATCACAAGTAGGCAGAGAGGCAGGCAGAGAGAGCGAGGGAAGCAGGCTCTGCTGAGCACAGAGCCAGATGCAGGGCTCTATCCCAGGACCCTGGGATCATGACCAGAGCCGAAGGCAGAGGCTTTAACCCAATGAGCCACCCAGGCACCCCAGATGCTTTTTAAAGTATGAAGTTACAATGATGCCCTGGAACGGGGCTGTGACTGAAAAGAATGACAGAAAGATCATACAGCACAACCTCTACCAACTCTACACTAACTCAGCACATGGTCCCCAAGGCCCAGGCTTGAACCCCTTCAGTCACCTAGAACTCACTACCCCGTCAAACAATTCATTTCATTTTTAGAGTTCAAATTTTTCGGAATGTTACTGAGGCAACACTGAACCCTCTGTACTTTGAGTCCTACCACCGTCCTCTAGAGTCACACAAAATAATCCGAACACATTCCTTTCTTTCAAGGGACAGATCTTCAAATACAGTAGTATCAAATCCACCTCCCAAGCTGTCTTTCTTAGCTGTTCCTAAGGCTCTACTAGCAGAACTTTGAGTACATCTACATAAGCACACCATGCTGGCTATTCAATATTCCCAAATCCAACAGCACCATCTGCAACAATGGTTCGCGTACTCTCGGTCAGCATCCCCAGTTACGGAACAGAAAACAGAACAACCTCAACCTACCACATATATTCTTTCCCACAGTTCCAGTGGCCCCTGATGAATGACCTCCACTTGCAAAGGAGGCTACTTACCTTAACCATGAAATAATGAATACTATTGATCCAACAAGCTACTGCTATAGAGAGTTACTGATCACCCAATCTTTGGTTAAAATGGTCCTCATTTAGCAATTTCACTGTCACAAACACCGGGAGCAAAGCATGCTCATAATTAAAGAGTTTGGGGGAGTTAAAGTGAAAGGTGATGGACAGAGATCTCCGCTTTCTCCCATTTATTCTTGCTTCTGAGCTATTGTTTGTGTCAGAAGGGATATTGATTTTCTATAAAAATAAGAAAACAAGAGGCACCAAGGGGCCGCAGAAGGTCAGCCTGGGCTGGAGAAGGAGGGGGGAGGTTTAGCACTCTATCTCTGTCACTTGCCTTCCAAGAGAAAGGAATATTTTCTTTCCTGTGAGATCAGCCTCTAATACATCACCTTAGAAAGGCTCCAGACTGAGACTTCAGGCCAACACCAAACTGATTCACTTAGAACAGAAACTAAACTATATTCAAGGGGAACAAACAAATGTGTTAGTGAAAAACAGAGCAAAATCAGGCTATGAATCACCTAATGGCTGCTACATAGACAGTATGAATAAGGACAGTAGAAAGTAATTGCACAAAAGAACCGCTCCATTTTAGAACGGAACACACATACAAAGGAAAATAACCGATCCTTTTGCAGGCACAAAATACTACTACCTCATAACCACTTTCAGTTCCTCAGAATCCCTGAGGGATTGGTTGGTGCAGAATTGAAGGAAGAACAGAAAAAGAGAAGTTAAAAAGAATTATTGGTCAAGTTTAAAGCTATTCCATGGTTAATTAATAAAGTGAGTTTAAGGAAATTAGAAATAAAGCTCTCTGGTTGAGACATACATTTTCAAACCTAAAACTCGTGACATACATTTTTTTAAAAGAACTGTATCACTGACAAGGCTAGGTTAAACTTAATGATCACCTTCATCCTAATAATTCTACAAGTTTGAATCATACAGGCTGACAATCCTCAATACGACTGATAAAAAGTAAAGTTCTGGGGGCGCGTGGGTGACTCAGTTGGTTGAACATCTGCCTTCGGCTCAGGCCATGATCCTGGAGTTCAGAATCAAGCCCGTGTCGGGCTCCCTGCTCAGTGGGGAGTCTGCTTCTCCCTCTGCCCTTCACCCGGCTCCTGTTCTCTTTCTCTCAAATAAATAAAAAATCTTTAAACAATAATAATAATTGAGGGAAGATTTTAGTTCCATCTTACTTGAGAGACTGAATATAATTTGCAGTCTCCTCTATTTCTCCATAGGGTAGATTTTTGGGGGGAAATACAAAGCACTTCTGCTCATAACTACAGATGAATCAACATAAGGCATATACTTAAGACTCCCAAACCATGAGATTCTAAAGAAGTATTCTCATTTTCGGTCTGCTACTACTCCACCTATTATTCCCTCATAGCTACAGGGCCTTGGGCATCCATGTTATTAAAGAACTCTGATGTCATGGACCAGGCAAATAGCACAAATGGCGGGGTGGGGGGACGACACAAGATCTTCTCAATTTAGAAAAGAATAAGAATTTCGTAAGAACTGCTGCCTGCTTCCACTTATCCAGGCTCTCGTATAACCAGAATGTTTATTATTACAACCTGACTATAACGTGCAATAGATGTGTCTGGGGTAAGATGGAACTTACTGAAGGCCTCACTGCTAGATTACAGACTCCGTATCTGGAACCATTCTCGGACTATTAAGAGCAGACAGAGTTAACAGTCTCTCACCTACAATTATGTCATAATTTAACAAGAAATTCTGGGGAAAAAATATATACAAGCTATCATCGCAAAAAACAATTTTTAAAAATCACTATTCTCAACAGTAAATTATTTGGCATATAGGTTTGATACTGAAACAAACTTAAATGCCTCAATCAAGGGTTCTGATATTGTGAAAAGCTGTAAGTTGACTAAACATTTATTTGATTAAAAATAACAACAACAAAAAAAACCTTTATAACCCAAAATCATACATATAAACTGGGCAAATAAGTCTGAGGAGATACATTAAAGGAAAATTAGGAAGCCAAATTATAAGCCTATCTGGTTGTGCAGACTGGCAAATATAAAGTTAGTCAGAAAAATTGTTAAAGCTGGATTAAAAATCACCCATGAAAGGTACAGGGATAAACACCTAAGCAGCTTTCCCTATTACTGACATAGCTTCACCTCATAGTTCCTAAGATTTATGTCTTTGTTTTTCAGACAAACTTCAATAGGAAAGTCCTAAGAAAAGCCACATATTCTAAGCTAAGTTGAGACGGAAAAAGAGCCATGGGAAAGGGACACTAAAGGGGCAGCAAAACATGGTGGTTAAGTATGAACTTTGGAATCAGGTTCAATTCCCAGTTTTGCCACTGGGTGACCTTGGGCAAATTATCTAAATGCTACTAATCTCCATCTCCTCTTCTGCAAAATACGAATGGTGGTGCCTACCACACAGTGGAGTCCTGAACATTCGATTGGGACTACCAACCCACTAGGCAGCCCCCATAAAGCCATTTGATTTGACGCCATGAAGGAGATAGGAACAAGGTAGGGATATCAAATCCCAGGTAAAGCACGGGGTGGTCCCTCACCACCATGAACTGTCCCATCCAAAACACCAACAGCATCTTCCTTGAGAAACGGTATCACACAATGATATTAAGAGTAATATTAAAGTATCAAGGTGGGGATTCCTAGGACTACCCGAGATATAAAAAACAAAGTCACCAAAAACTGCACTGCCATTTTAAACACGCACCCAAAAGACCCAAATGTTTCTGGCCCAGTGACATCTAGTATAAGACTAATGGGATTTGGTACTGTTATTTTCAAAGCCCACTATGTGTTCAGACTACGTGAATGTCAGCCGTAAAAAATAAGCTCCACAGAGTCAAACTGGAAGGAGCAGACAACAGAATTCTAGCCCAGTACCTAAAGCCAGGACTCTTGATGGGGAAAGGCAGCTTACCAGGAACATACACGAACTCCACGTGCCTAGCACCAGCATTTTCCCGTGTACACAAACACACGCCCCAGCCTCTGCTGAGACCCTCATTCTACCAACATCTACGTGTGATCTACGTGGCATAAGCAGCCGCAAATTGTTTCTAAAATAAAATTCATGGCTTCGCATGTGAAGTACACATTTTAAACCATTTTTAGAAACAAATGTGTTTGTTTATATACAGCCTTCTTGACGGAGGGAAACAGAACCATGAATGTACTGTAAAAAGCTAGAGATAAACCCTAGCTGCCTGCTTAAGGGAGGGCTACAAAGTCAACAGCACGGTGGCTGGTTTGCAAAGAAAGCTGAACTCATCGACACTTGGGGTAAAAATAGCCAGGAAAATCTCTGAGTAAGGGAGAGCTCACCATTCTGACATGTTCTCATCAGAGCCCTGTTTTTGTTCATCTGCTTCACACTCCATCCTTTCTTTCCTTCCTGTTTTGCTTAGGAAAGTCCTATTTTCTGCTGATTCACACAACCCATGACCTGAGGAGGCCCAGGGAGTATTCTCCTTCCAGCGGGACAGACGCTGCTTCTTAGCCGACTTGAACCTGCAGCCTCTCTCATAGCTCCAATCTGACACCTTGAGCTTCTGCTGAAGGCTGGCAGCCACCTCCGAAGTCACTCGCTTCACCTTCCGCCGGCGCCGGAGCGGTCGACACGGTGCATTTTCAGTAAAGGAGTCAGACTCGTGCCAAGAGTGCTGCTTACTCTTAACAATGGCATTGAGAGCTGGGTGCCGCTTGGCTACCATTGTGTCATCGGAGTCACTAAAATTGGCAACAGGGGCCATTTCTCGACAGTCCTTGATGGCTTCATCAAGACTCGACTCGGAGGCCTCGCTGTAGCAGCAGGTGTGTTCCGCCAGGTGAGTGAAGTCCGAACGGCGCTTCCGGCCTCTCCTTTTGCGAAGCTGCCGCCTCTGCAGCCGGGGGCTCAGGGCCATCTCCTCCCACAGCTCACCAAGCTTATTCTGCTCCGATGTCTGCTCTAAGGCTGACGCTAAGTCATGTACCAGCTCATCCATGAGGCCACATCTGCCGAAAGAAAGTTCAGAAAAAGAAAAAGAAAACCTGAATAGGATTCTGTTGTTTAGAGTAATTTTATAAAATAGATCATGGCACTGCAGGGTCCACCCCATCTACAGAAAATAGTCACCTTTCATCTGCCTACACTAAAGACTCTGTTCCTACCATCCATGCACCTTTAAGACACTAAAAATAGAGGTGTTTACCCTTGTTAGGTACCTCAAGTCAACATGTTTTTAAAGCACAAAAAAAAATATCACTCACCAGATCACAACTAGGATATTAGCAAAAATGAGCAAACCCAGGGATATAAATTTTTCCTCCCCTTTTCCCCAATTAAACTTGTCACTAAATTATCTGATGATCAAATCCAAAAAGATTAGAGAAAGTCTCATTAGACAGGAGCAGAAAAACACACAATTTCAAAACCATGGATAAAGAATTGTTCCATGGGCTAGGGTCACTTGTGGAAGGGAGAAGGACAACTTAGTGACACACTTTAAAGACCACTGCTTGCAGTTTCGGTGACCCAAGAAATTGTGGTGACCAGATGTGTACCCTGAATGGAAAAAAGACACTGAGTCTGCCCCCACTCTGGTCCGAACTACCACCTGGAAGCTAGCAGGAAAGGATTTTATCGGGTATGTCATATCTTTTTTAACAATTAGCAGCTTCTAAGGTCTTCTCCCATCCTTCAGAAAATTAAGTGATCATAATTATGTGCTTTAGTACCAATCACACAAAAGCAGGATGTAACTGATGCTGAAAGGACAGGGACAGATGGAGTCTATGATTTGGAGCCAACCGCTTTCTACATTTTTCTATTTTTCTATTCATTCTTGTCAAACCCTCATACTTCAGGGGTCACTTCAGAGGCAAACCTTCCAAGGGATGAGAGCAGTACAAGCAATTTTCAAAACGCCCTTTCAAAGGGAAATGTCTAATATAATTTGTACAACACCTTATTAAATACATATTCATTTAGTATCTTTTCCCTAGCCCTGGTTAAGCCCAAAGTATTTCAAGCCCATAATGAGAATTAAAAACTGTGTGGCACCACTCTCAGACCCTATTTCCATTCATGCAGTTTACATTTCCAAAGGACTTTCTAAAACCTATTTTCAGGCTGTCCCTATGCCAATGAATTCAAAGGCAAGAAAACAGTAGGCTGGCTTATCTACCACATGGGTGGGAGCAACGGGGACATCTAGTTCCACAACCACCAAACAAACAAAACGTCTCCAGGTGTCAAAAGCCGCAGAACATAAAATGACCACGTCCTTTCAAGCAACACGAAGTAGTTTAAAACGCCCTGACTGGGGTCTGGGAGACAACTGCCCTTAAGACCAAAACATGTGGGGACAGCACGTCTAAACCTACTTCCTTATTAAAGAACTACTGCTTTTAAGACTCAGGCAGAACTGTACACTTTAACGTGGAGCAAAGTTACAGAACTTGCAGCTGTTTGTGCAGAACCCTTTCCTATCTAAGGGAATGCAACTGGAACAGCTGGTGACAGAACCCTGAGCTCCCCACACCTTCAGTCTCGGGTGCACGCTCTAAGAGCAACCCCTTGTCCAGCAAGCACTCGAGGAGAGGAAAGGTAAGTCACGCAAAGAAAAGCGGAAAGGCAGCCGCGCGGCTGGAGCGAAAGACCGGGTTGCGAGGAGCGGGGGAGGAGGCAGGCGGCAGGAAGCAACTTCTCATGTGGGCTCACCGGGGCAGGGGGTCAGCCCTTCCCGGGCAGAACTGCAAAAAAAAAGGAAGTCCTGGCGACTAAGAACCCTCCGTAATCAGGGGTCGCAACATGGCCACATATGTGAGAAGGAGCTTGTTTGGAAGGACTCTCCCCCACGCCCCGGCCCGCCCCCGAACACTAGAACGAACACGGCTCGGGACACCAAGCCCTCACGCTGTCGCCTGCCCAAAAGAGTCAGAAAGAAGAAAGGAGAAGAGGTGACTGTCGCCCAGGAGACGCCCGAACCTCGTTCCCCGGGATGGGGTCGATGGGCCCTGAAAAACAAGGCCCAGCCACCCTCGCCCCTCCCGCCAACCTCCGCAGCCCCGTGGCGGCCATGGCCCCTCGGCGTCAGCCGGGAACCCCGATCCCCGCTGGCGCCGGCCCCCTGGACCCCGACCCTCTCAACCCACTCCTCCCCCTCACCAGCTGCCGCAGCCACCTCCAATGGCCGCCGCTTTTGGGGCCGAGTCTCCCCGCCGGGGTTTCCCTTTCTGACCTCATTTCCGGTCCGGGCCGGAGGGGTGGGGCAGTGGTGGAGGGGGAGGGGCTGGCTACTCGAGACGGCCCGCCCCTGCCCAGCGCTTCCGGTCCTTGGCCGCGCCCACTTCCGTCCCACGGAAGGCGGGGCCTTGGAGAAGCCGGAACAGGGACTGGGGGGCCCCGGGGGGCGGTGGTTAAGGGCGGGAGGGGTAAAGGATGAGGCCCACATATGGGGCGGGACACTCCTCCCCAGGCTGGCCTCATCTGCCTCGGAGACGTCAAGAAATTGGGCACTAGGGAGGGACTTCGGCCTCGCCCTTGTTTGCTGACCTACTTTATAAAGGGTGTGTGAAATGGAGGGGAAATGGATCCTCATTCTTGACTGAGAGTTGACACAACTATTAGCCTGGTACCTTTGTAGTGAATTACTCAGTCTTACAAATACAAATGCCTTGAGCAACAAAACAAAGTACTATGGGATTATAATTCTAAGTATAAAATCAATTCCCATGCATCTATACTGACATAAACTAATGAATACAGACATGAATAAAGTAATAAACGGGGAAAAGGAGATAAATCTCTGGTGCAGAAAAATTCCAAAGACTTTATGTAGATAATTAACCCTGAAGTAGAACTCCCAACTATTTGAATGTGGGCTGTGTGTAATGACTTCCTTCTAAAGAGCACAGTGTGGAAAGAGGGGAAGTGAGTATAGTGGAGACACTCGGCAAGTACTACCTCTGCCAGGTGATCAGGGTTAACATGAACAGTGATAAATCACATTGATCCTGTGTAGGCTAGCTATGATACGATGAAAGTGGCATTTTACCTCTTTGATATTTTCCTTCCAAATCCCATACACCCAGTCTAATCCAGAGAAATAAATCAGACAAACCCCAAATGAGGGACGTTCTACAGAATGCTTGACCAGTATTCCTCAAAACTGTTAAGGGCAAAAAACTCAAGGAATGTCTGAGAAATTGTCACAGTCAAGAGGAAGCTTAAGGAAATGTGACAACTAAATGTAGTGTAGTGTCCTAGCTGGCAGACTGAAACAGAAAAAGGATATTAAGTAAAAACTAAAGGAACTTGGATAAACTATGGAAGTCAGTTAATAATAATGTCTCAATGTTGGTTCATTAATTGTGACAAATGTTCTATATATTAACATAAGAAGTTAATAATGGGGAAACTGAGTACGCGATATACAAGAACTGCCTGTAGTACCTTTGTAATTTTTCTGCATACCTAACACTAGCCTAAAATAAAAAGGTTATTTTTTTCAAATGCACATACCTTTGACCCAGAAATTCTGCCTCTGAGGAATTTTATTCTGAAGAAAAACTGGAAATTGGCACAAAAATTTTAAATTGTGGAGAGAGGGATGAGAAGACTAGAAAGAAAAATCCTACAACAGGGATTAGTTATCTAAATTATGGTACATCTATGGGGTGGAATAACTCTGTATCCTTTTAAAGTTGATGTGGAAGAATAATGAATGAAAAGTCATCAGTTTCTGGTTGTGTACATTCCTGTATGACTGTGTTACTCCAATAAAAAGGTTATTCTAAAAAAAATAGAGTATGGTGTATTTATTTATACAGGAAATTAAATCTGTACTTGCCTGGAAATATAACTAAAGTGATACACTACATATCACTGAAAATAGTTCCATTATAAATGACCATATCTTCTACCTGATATTTTTATGGATTTTCAGCATTTTCTTCCCCCCCCCCTTTTTTTTTTAAGATTTTATGTATTTGAGAGAGAGAGAATGTGAGAGAGACAGAGGGAGCACAAGTGGGGTGGGGGGACAGAGGGAGAAGCAGATTCCCCGCTGAGCAGGGATCCTGACATGGGACTCAATCTCAGGACCCTGGGATCATGACCTGAGCCAAAGGCAGATGCTTAACTGACTGAGATACCCAGGCTCCCCTTTTCAGAATTTTCAATGAAACTTACAATGTAAAGAATTAAGGAAAGAGACAAGGAGGACTGAAGTTGGGAGCGAGCATGATGAAGAGAGTGGTCAGTACCATTTACACAGCTAGAGAAGTCAAGAAGAGAAACAACTTTGGTGAGAAAGTGATTAATTCCATTTTGGACACACTGAATTTGTAACTCTCACAGGAGAGAAAAATTGTTCAAAAGTTGTCCACAACCATCAGCCCCCTTTTTGGTTAAGTGAAGTTCTCTCCTACAAGCAAACTAAGTGTCCATTGATAAATAGATTAAAAAAAAAAAAAGATGTGGTGTACACACACACACACACACACACACACATGAATATTACTCAGCCTTTAAAAAGGATGAGATGGTTACCATTTGCAACAACGTGGATGGACATAGAGGGTGAAGTAAGTCAGACTGAGAAAGACAAATACCATATGATTTCACTCATATGTGGAATCTTAAAAAAAATGAATAAACAAACAAAAAAGCAGAATCAGACCTATAAATACAGAGAACAAACTGATGGTTGCCTAGGGGGAAGGAAAAAATGGGTTAAGAGGAGTGGGAGGTACAGATCTCTGGTGATGGAAATGAATGAGTCATGGGAACAAAAGACACAGCAAAGGGAATATAGTCAATAATACCATAATAGCATTGTATGGTGACAGATGGTAGCTGCTCTTGGGGCGAGCATAGTATAACATATAGAGAAGTTGAATCACTATGTTGTCCACCTGAAACTAATAAAAAGATTACGTGTCAAGTATATTCAAATACAAAATTTTAATAAATAAAACTATGAAAAAAGTTCTCTCCCACAAATCACAGCATCTCCCATGATGTCAGTTACCTCAGTCAGCTCTGAACGCTCCCATATTTCTTGAAATCCAAGTTATCTTCCCTGGTTTACTCCACCAGCATCTCCAATTTAAGACGTCGAGACAAAGCTTAGTTTCTTCCATAGTCCCTATCAAATCTTCCCCTTCTCCACTGTTCTCTGTTTGAGAAATGTTAACACCATCATGCAGTCACCGAGGTGAGACGGTTTGAAGTCATTTTTAGTTCCTGCTTCTTTCATTCTTTTTTAAAAGATTTTATTTATTTATTTATTTGACAGAGACAGAGATCACAAATAAGCAGAGAGGCGGGCAGAGAGAGAAGGGCAAGCAGGCTCCCTGCTGAAAGGAGAGCCTGATGTGGGGCTCGATCCCAGGACCCTGAGATCATGACCTGAGGCCGAAGGCAGAGGCTTAACCCACTGAGCCACCCAGGAGCCCCAAGTTCCTGCTTCTTTCTTATGCCCCTTTATATAATTAAATGCCAAGCCTCATAGATTTTACTTTTATAGTACTCTTGCATCCACTTTCCCTGTTTTGCTTGTTTTGTGCCATTGGCCTGGATAGACAACCACTCTTCTGGATGGTCTGTCCCCAAGCAAGTCATTCTCTACACTGGCAGCAGAGTGAGATTCCCAAAATACAATTGCACCTCATCTGTCTTTCACTATCTCCTGCATCATACTTGAGCACACCAGATCACTTGCCCTTTTTTTTTTTTTTCTTTTTCAGGTCTTATTTTTTTATTTGAGAGAGAGAGAGAGAGTACAAATGGGACAGGGGCAGAGAGAGAGGGAGAGAGTCCCAAGCAGACTCCATACTGAGCACAGAGCCTGATATGGGACTTGATCTCACGATCCTGACATCATTACCTGAGCTGAAATCAAGAGTCAGATGCTTAACTGACGGAACCAACCAGGCGCCCCTCACTTCCTGTTTCTTGAGCAATACTATGATTTAGGGTGATTTAAAGGCTGAATGCCTATGGATACTCCAGAAGACTTCCCCTTGCTTGTCTATAACCTCCATGAAGACTTCTGCTTGCTTGTCTACTCTGTTGGGCTCCCTCAGTACCACCTGGCATCTTTACTAGAGCATTTTCTCCATTCAACCTTGAATTAGAGCCAATTATGTGCAAGTTTGCCTCCCCAGCTAAATTACTCATTCCACAAATATATACCGAGCACCTGTGTCAAGCTCTGGCAATAGAGCTGTGTGAACAAAAATGAAGCCAATCCCATTGCCTCAGAGATCCTGTCCTAGCCATTATATTCTCATCAACACCTAGAACAACACTTTGCATGTGGTAGGTGCCCAGTAACTGTTGTCAATTAAAAAATATATATATATAATATATATAAAATATATAATATATTATATATTTTATATATATATAATTTAGTCATTTAGTCATTTAGTCAATGACTAGTCATTTAGTCAAATTATATATATATAATTTAGTCAGCAAATATATATATATATTTGCTGACTAAATGCTGAAACAGGAAATTAGAAGGGGTTGTCTCCATCTTAAGAGAAAATTTAAATAAAAGCTCCCACCTTCAAGTGATGATGGTAGTCAGAGGTGGGACCACTCAAAGAAAGAGCATGACAAGAGAAGTCTGTGGGGTTGAAGGAGACAGCTCAAAAGAACAGAGAGCATCTGAAGCCAGAAAAGGGAGAAATTTAAGAAAAAAGAGAACCAAAAGGAAAATTGGTGAAGACTACTTCTAAGGAAATGCTATCACACTTGATAGCTAAAGTCACTGATGACATGGAGTTTGGGGCAGACTGCAAGCAGTTGACAGTAGAGGCAGGAGGGAAGTTAAGGGTAAAACGCTAGGACGGACTAGCTGTGTGCAGAGCTAACTGCTTAACTTCTTTGCGCACCTGCTCCCCGCTCTGTGAAACGGAGACAATAATAGAATGGACACATCCCTTCAGCGGAGATTAAATGACATAACGAATGCAAACCATTTAGCACAAAACCCACCACAAATTAAGTGCTGCAAAAAATTAGTAGTTACTGAGAAAAGGAAGAGAGTCTAGTCAATGAGTTTCCCTTAATTGACCATTAAAGCAAAAGTGTTGGTTGAATGAGAAAATCACCAGCTGAAAAGGATCCACATGTGGGAAAATTAATAGGTTTCTCCCTCTTGTGTCCCTGTGTCCTTCCCACAAAACACACACACAACACACACGCCATAGGAAAAGCACCTCTGCTGCTGGTTCATTAGATTCCCTGCAGTTACAATAAACAGAGAGTAC